AAATCAAATTTCAATACTCCACTTCCGTATTCTAACATAAGCATCACAGCAGTATCAATTTATCAAAATGAAAAAATGGAGATATTTCCCCATCTGAAATAAGCATTTAGCCCCTTGTCCAAGGTTTGTTGTATAGTGGACAAGGATCCGCCAGTCGAAAATGTAAAACCACAAAATGAATAGCTCTGACCATCGTTATCTCCTCTGGTCAGAACCGGTATGGGGAAACACAACATAAAGTTGTGGCACAGAACCGGTATGGGGAAACACAACATAAACTTGTGGCACAGAACCGGTATGGGGAAACACAACCTAATGTTGTGGCACAGAACCGGTATGGGGAAACACAACATAACGTTGTGGCACAGAACCGGTATGGGGAAACACAACATAAAGTTGTGGCACAGAACCGGTATGGGGAAACACAACAGTACGTTTTTGCACAGAACCGGTATGGGGAAACAGAACATAAACTTGTGGCACAGAACCGGTATGGGAAAACACAACCTAATGTTGTGGCACAGAACCGGTATCGGGAAACACAACATAAAGTTGTGGCACAGAACTGGTATCGGGAAACACAACATAAAGTTGTGGCACATAACCGGTATTGGGAAACACAACATAACGTTGTGGCAAAGAACCGGTATGGGGAAACACAACATAAAGTTGTGGTACAGAACCGGTATTGGGAAACACACAGAACGTTGTGGCACAGAACCGGTATGGGGAAACACAACATAAAGTTGTGGCACAGAACCGGTATGGGGAAACACAACATAAAGTTGTGGCACATAACCGGTATGGGGAAACACAACATAACGTTGTGGCAAAGAACCGGTATGGGGAAACACAACAGAACGTTGTTGCACAGAACCGGTATGGGGAAACACAACATAAAGTTGTGGCACAGAACTGGTATGGGGAAACACAACAGAACGTTGTTGCACAGAACCGGTATGGGGAACCGCAACATAAAGTTGAGGCACAGAACCGGTATGGGGAACCGCAACATAAAGTTGAGGCACAGAACCGGTATGGCGAAACACAACATAAAGTTGTGGCGCAGAACCGGTATGGGGAAACACAACATAAAGTTGTGGCAAAGAACCGGAATGGGGAAACACAACATAAAGTTGTGGTACAGAACCGGTATTGGGAAACACACAGAACGTTGTGGCACAGAACCGGTATCGGGAAACACAACATAAAGTTGTGGCACAGAACCGGTATTGGGAAACACAACATAAAGTTGAGGCACATAACCGGTATGGGGAAACAAAACAGAACGTTGTGTCTGTTTCTGCTTCATCAGATCTTCTTTAAAATCAGTTGCGTTTCCTTAGGTGCGTAGTCAACATATATCGTTAATGAGAGTCTTTGAGAAGTATCGATGACTTTAACAGTTAATATCTTGGGCATTTAAATCATAACAGGACATATTGATTTAATTTTTCCAACACAACGATGTTCGTCATTCCGTTACCAGATTATTGAACTTTGTCCATCCTTGAGCAGCTTTGTTCTACAAAGAAATGTTACCTCTAGCATCAGTCGCAGTAGAGTGTTACATTTTTACACTCTGGTTCGGTAATCTAGGGTAGTACTCATACTTGTTTAAGAAATAGTTTAATTAATAATTAAAATACAATGCATTCACCTGGAACATTCGTACATCCCGTTTATGTGGCCTTTGGTACGACAAAGCATAAACAAGTAAATCTCACTACAGTTCTGTTCTGCTTTAAATAATGTTTACGTCCACAATGGCTCTCAGAGTCATACACATTATTAAATCCCCATGGTTTTACGACTTTAGAATAAATAAAAACAGTAAATACATCTTGGTAGATGTAAATAGTTACTCGGTTATAATGAACATTTTTGGGCATTTATGCGGGTATCCATTCGTGTCAAATGTCATAAAACACCAGAAACCTGTTTATAATGCATATTTATCATTATGTTTTGTCAATATACAGTGCTTCTATGTTCTAGCATTGTAAGTAACATTTCAAAGTGTACCCATAACGGGACATTACCGAAAACGGGACACTTGTGCGAAAGCTGCCCAAGAAATTGACACTCAATTCAATTATGTACATTTTAAGAAAATAAAATAAAAGGAAACATCTATAATAATACAATCGTGATTAATTGCTGTATAAAAAATATACAGTTTTGCTAAACAAAGAGAAAAAATACACAAAACAGTTGCATAAAAACACAGAATTTATTTGTTAAAACTGAACCACCCGACAACCCAAGTTAAATGATTCTCGTGATGTTAATTGTACTCCATCAAGACTGTCAGCATAATATATTAAGATCGTTCATACCGGTCTGCCTGGTGTAGCTGCATGGCGTGACGATCTGCCCGATTGGGTTTTATACCGATGGTGCATTGATAGTTCACAGTTGTTTACGGTTTGTTATTATTCCATTACCGAAGGGTATCAAGACTCTCATTCGTGATGCCATGGCCTTTCGTGGCTACATAGGACTTGGGTGCTATGGAGCGACCCTATATGTACTTCACAAGTTGATAATTCGCTCTTTAACGGAACTTTTTCAATATATAACGTGTATTGGTATGTTAGTATTATTGTTAAGATGGTTGACTAGTAGGGTCTTGCTTTTTCTTTATTATGCTCACGATTGATCGTCTTGAAAAAAACTGAAATATTGGTTCAAGTTAAAACTGAGTTTTTGTGAAGAATAGGGGAGGGAGACAACCTCAATTTGAAGTAAAAGGTATGTTATTGTAGGGATGAATTCGTCGAGATGTATCAAGTTAGCAACTTTTCTGCAAACTTAGTCTTTTTCAATTTAAGGAGCCATACGAGTTCATTCTTGTTGTATGCAATTAAACGTACAATGGAGAGAAGCTATCCACTGGCAAAACCTAGTCTGGTCAGATAAACCAGAGTTTCTTTGAATAAACTTCAGTGTAAACATTTATATTATAACAGTAATAAATACTACATAATAGATTATGGAGAAAGTTAAAAACAAAAAAAGATTAAATGACTGTTACACATCAGGTTGAATAGCCCGGAGTAGCCAACAAGAGCAAAATATTGGCAAATCTGAACTGTATTTTACATTCACTGCATTTAAAACTGTGGATTGTTTTGTTTCATGTGTAAAAGAGGCGATGCTAGTACTTGTGGATGCTTGGGTAAATATAATCAAGCTCGTAAAAAGATATCGATTTTTAAACAATACTTGTTTTGTAAACGGTATTCAACGGGACATCATTCAACATCATCCCTTTTTTGTCATAATAACAAGCAAACAAATGATTAACTCAACAAATGATTTATTTTATTTGAAACAAACAATAAGCGATAGGCAAAGTGGTCAGTGGAACTACGTATATTGTAGATTAAACTTTTACATATATAGTACAGTGTATATCGTAGACAATATTGAATACTAATGTTTTGAAATGTCCTAGAATATGAAAACTTATATGGTTTCAATACAGAATTATTGATCAATTTGTAAGTGCAAACAAACATATATATTAGATACAAATTTAAAATTCTCTACTCTGTGGTTTTTCCTATAGATATTAATAAACCATATTATACATGATATGTGAATATGAAATTGAAAGGAATTACTGGCATGCGATTAAACTATGGCTGCAAATAAAAGCAAATAAATCAGTACAAATTCACAATACTGATATAATATACGCAAAATATCGAACAGATAAGAGATAAGAAATATAATTTATTAACATTAAAGACTTTATTACAAAACTTTATATTTTAATGAAAACTGGAAAACCATCAACACAGTACTACTGACTTTATAAAAACATAGAACTTTCATGAAAAAAAAGTATAAACATATTTCAATAATATATGGAATATACAAAATGCCAGAAATGTTGCTCCTGTCATATGAACTACATAACCTACACACATACACAATAATATGATGATGTGTTATAGCTAGCATCAGTTGAAAATTACATAAGTGTTTTCTTAGGATAAAATAGGAATATAAATACAATTATTACGGTAAATATCTATGTTATCACAAATTTTCTCCTGTTACTATGTAACTGAAGATCGAATAGATAGGAAACGTTTGCGCTAAATCTAATGTCTTCTTTTGTCAATAACACATTATTATTTTTATTCTATACATATATTTTAAATTTAGTATTTTTACTACAAAATGTACCCTGTGTACCCTGTAGAGTTCTCGTTTTCTCTCGCATTCCTTTTTTAGATTACTTGACGAAATATAGCAAAATGATTTGTGGAAGTATTATATAATCAATAATTTAAGTATATATATAAAGGATCTGTGATAAGTTTTCCTTTATATTAGATTTATGATACAAGTTTTGAATTTTTCATGTTTGCGAGCCTCTGTCGAGCAAATATGAAAAAGCCAAAACAAGTATCATAAATCTAATATGAAGGGAAGCGAATGACAGATTCTTTTTGTCAGATTATACAAAATTAACTGTATAATTGTGATCTGAAACGAATATTTTGCACTTGGCCGCCTCTGAAACGATGAGAATTGCGTCTGCTTCACAATGACGTCACATAAATTGTTCCTTTTGATTTTGACGTTATTTCCGGAGTGATATTACACACGTTACATAAACATTAATATGTGATGGCTTTATGGCACTGCATAACACGGTATTCATATGATAAATAGTTATACCAATATGGTGTATGACAACAAATATATAACACATGACTATTTATATACCATGTAGCATCAATATAATATTTATATATCATACTAAAGCGGGGAAATATATTTTGAAAAATAACATAAAAAGAATACCAAAGTGTGAAAAAAATGAAATCGAACTTTGATCGATGGAAATGGGTCAAAGCATAATCAGTAAAAATGTTTCCATGGAGACCCGGATTATCTAGGACGTGTACACGCCTTTTGCTTTAGCAATGGCACCTGTCATGCAATACGGAACAATATGTACATGTAGTTTGTTCCCATAGGTATGGCACCAGCCGGATGGAAAACATTTACCACAAACCGCAACATATATATTGTCAACAAGGAAGTCAGTCCTTCTCACGGTTTCAGTCTCCACAACGTTCGGCGGTAAGTAAAGACAATTTTGTCGTATCATTCTTTAGCCGATAGTTGATATGTAAGAATGAAATCCTTTTGCGACTCTCTTAATCTAGAGGCTGAACTGACTGAATTAAAGGTCCGTCACTGTCTTTTCAGGATATCCTTGCTTGCCCTGAATTTTATGTTTGAATGCTTAGCTTACAGCTAAGTAGCCCTAAGTACGTTGGTGATACATGGACATTTGTAAGTATAATCACAAAACTTTTCAGAATGAATCTTATTATACCACTAATTAATATATCCTATCAATTTTTTTTATAATGCTCACCTCATAAAACTTGGTGATAGGAGCACTGTACATCATTTTTCACAGTAGAACAAGAAACCTCAACATTGATACAAACCTATTCAGTACTATATTACAAACGTATTGATTGATGGAATCATTTTAATCCTGATTCGCACATCATTATTGCGCAGGACCATCAAATATCCTATCCCACAAAGAAAGCTTGATTGAATTTTAAATCTATGAGAATATATATTTAAAAAATAGCAAAGATACAAAATCGTTTGATCTCTCCGAAGATCTAGCAAACAAGCAATGCAATGTGCCAATGAATGTATTACAGAGACTTTTGATGAAATATTAATTTAAACAGAAATAAGAAGGAAAATATTGCGTTAAAGTGAAGATGTCTACGCCATGTCTTACTGTTCAAAAGAAAACAATACAGGGTAATCAAAGAAAAAAAGAATGAGAGTTCTACGGCCGGAAATAGAAAAAAAGAATGAGAGTTCTATGGCCGGAAATAGAAAAAAAATCAAGCACTGCCCAACCACGTACTCATTTATAGCTGAGTAGACTAGAACAAGCGGAGTAAAGTATCTTGCTCAAGGAAATAACACAATGCCGTGCCGTGCCGTGCCGTGCCGTGCCGTGCCGTGCCTCGAACCCGCAACCCTCGGTCACCAGCCCGGCGTCATACCACTAGAATACCGCGCCTCCATTTTCTAATATCCACATATAAAAAACAGCGGCAGCGTGCAGTTGACACTGGATAGACCGCTCTGTGTCAACATGACACAGTGACCTTGTGCGGGGTCAGGGTTCGGAGGTGACCACAGTGTTGAGTCGATGACGTAACCATCACTGTCCTGCCACTGCGTTGTGTACTGTCCGGAGACGTAGAATCGAAAATCTTGTTCTACAATAATAAATAAACGAATCGTTGTGTATACTATTATTCTTTATAAGAAGTGTTTATAATTACATATTTCAAAACCCCATCGAAGAGGATTGGCTTTACCTTTCATAGGAGAGGGATATTGATCGCCCGTATTGAAAGATACACCTACTTTCTTGATTAAACTGCGTTTGAAGTCTTTATGACGTAAATTTTGACAGCTTCGGGCTCAGGGATGGGCTTTACGTACAGCAATCACTCGTAAAGAATAATAATTTGATTATGCTGTATGCTTTGCTTGTGTTTTGTTTATATGTCGTATTATCTTGTTTTGATGAGGCAATCGAGCTGAAATTGACAAAATCATTGGCAACACGCCCTCATCTGACATGAACATTAATTGTTCGAGTGAGAGGTGATGAAGGACAAAAATCAAAAACATTTATGTTATTATTCATGCTGTTCTGAAGTGTACTTCCATGAAATATTCCAAAAGATTCATAAGTTCTTACTTAAAATGTTGTTTTCTTGTATTTCAGTTTGTAGGATAGTTAGACGGTCCAGTGTTTCAACCTTCACCAGCCAGGCATCCTGGGAGACACACGACTCTGAGGCATTGACTTGGTTCTTTCTCAGCTCAATCACTTTGTAGGAGAAGTTTCCAGCATCGACATGCTTGTATCCCCGATTGTACACTTCACCAACGGTAATAAGAGAATGATCAACAATGACTAAAATATTGAATAAAAATTCGACAGATATTACATTTGACAAATATGAATGAGTATTATCCAGGAGAAGTATAAACAAAACAATTCATAAAAAGGGCTGTATTTGATTTTCTTCTTATTGAGGGTTCAACGTTCCCACTTTTGATTATTTGTTTCAAAGTATTCTTTCCAGAGGATTATTTACATACTTACGGCTGATAGTGCAACGAGAAGGTACGAGGCAACAATTGCCAGTTTGTAGATTGTATAATACACAGCAAAATGAGTTACCTGTGTTGTAGTAGTAAGGAATTTCATGTCTAGAGTAAGACGTTTTCCTGATTGAGGTATATCCGTGACAATTTTGGGTCGTCGCGTCGAACCTGAAGGACACACAGCCAGTCTGTCTGTGACAGGCGATACCACAGTGATGGGCGGAGGGGTCAGGTGGCTGTAGGCTGATGGGCTGACCCAAGGTCGACATAGATCGTAGGGAGGCTAGGGCGAATCGACTCAACACTGTAATCAACATATACATAGAAAAAACATGTAATACCGCTATCTCAATATAACTTGTATTTTCTGTTTTTAATTTTAAATGGAGAAGGGTAACATGAATATCTCGCAAAAGGAAACAATTTGTTTTGAGATTTATGCAAAGCAAAGATAAACGGAAAAAAAGGATGGTTTCGCGAGATCAGGATTTGATTGGTAGTAGCGGATCCAAAGTGGTTTCTAGGGCTTTAGAATACGTAACAAACTGAAAATTTAAAATCAAATTATAGACATATTTTACTCAATTAGAAACCCATCAAGAAATTGGGAAACCACAAGGCCAGTGTCTAGATCCGACTGTGCTTTGGAAGCCATCGTTGATCAAATAAAATATAGAGTAAGCTTAGATGAGGATACTCAGTGAAGTTTTATCAATGCAACTGTCACTTACAATAGCACGTATAATTTCTAAACATTTTCTTCATGTTGGTAAGTATGGATTTTGAAAAAGTTCTTGTTACAGTGTACACAACCAATAATTGTTTCTAAGTGACGTTTCGATGACTAGTACGGTATATGTACTCTGTCACCTTCATCAGACAAATGAACAGTGAAGCGTATGTACACAAATGTGAAAAATGTGTACGAGTTGTCCTGTCAACAAATCGATGTGGTTCGGCTACACTGTAAGCCTATGTACAATAAGTTGTTATATATGTACCGAAATGACTCGTCGAATCAGCAACGCTTTGTTTAATACTTGGTCATTGATGGGAAGAACAAGAAAAGGTCAATCAAGGATAAGAACAAAACCCAAGGTCAGGTGGTCATCCCGTATATAAAAGGTATATCCGAAACCATCAAGAGTGTATATCGCGATCATGGCATAGCAACAGTCATGAAACCCCACAAGACGCTTCGTAATATCCTAGTACACCATAAGGATAAAACACCTAAAGAAAACGTCACAGAATGCGTATACTAAATCGGATGCAACCTGTGACGCATCGTATATTGGAGAGACTGGAAGGCGATTTGGGGTCCGCCTTTGTAAACACCGGAGAGAAGGAAACCCAAGAAGGAAATAACTTCACCAAATCAGAAAGGAAGCAGTCGGAGAACCAGATAAATAAATCGGCAATCACAGATCATGCCATACATAAAAATAATGTGATTGACTGGGATAACTCCAAAGTATTGGACAGAGAGAGCAATCTGTTCAAGCGACAAATATAGAAAGCCATCTGGATAAGCCGAAGTAGGTCAGTTCTAAATCGAGATGAGGGGGCTCACATACTCTCGTACATCTATGACCAAGTATTAAACAGAGCGTAGCTGAATCGAGTCATTTCGGTACATATATAACAACTAATTGTACATCCGCTTACATCGTAGCCGAATCGATATTGACTTGTGGATAACTCGTACACATTTTACTTTGTTTATATACGTTTCACTGGTCATTTGTCTGATGAAGATGACAGAGTACATACCGTACTAGTTATCGAAACGTCACATAGAAACATTTATTGGTTGTGAAACAAGAATCTTTTCAAAAGCCCGTACTATTATTCACCACACAATTTTCTTCTTATTATAACATTAAATTGCCTGACGCAAATCAGGAAGCCAAAGATATAACAGCAGGTGAAAGAATTTCCCACTAAAGCGCATTTTGAAATAATCTGTATCAATTGAGTTTATTTTTCATTATTTAATAAATATAATTATACATAACAAATTTGCTAATAAAAAAGAAATATATTACCCATAGGTTTACATCCGCCAAGGTCAAACCTTAGACAAGGACGACTTAGCCACGTCCTAGCATTGACCCGGAAGTACTTGGCTGTGATGTGGGGATTGATGATACGTCTAACAACAGTGTTGCGGTCCGTATTGCCAGTAAACAACTGTAATCAAATTATATGTGTGAACGATATTGGTATAACAACAACCATCGCTTAATATGTTAATAACAATATTATGATACCAACAATTAGTGATATGGGTATATGATAGTGTTATGATAACAAATATAACTGTAATATGATGTTATAATAGTGTTATGATAAAATAAATTACTAATATGTGTATAAGAAAGTGTTATTATAACAATATAACTGATTTAACGATATTAAGTCAGCAGAAAAAGGCACATGTTGTCTATTTAAGCGGAGCAATAATTTGTCATCAGTTACATTCTCCGAATTCTACATTACCTCAGGGTTGTTGTCCGAGGACATCACCCTTGTCCAGGTAACATTGTCCATACTGTATAATAGGTAGAATGTCTTCACCCATTGTGAATAGTCACCACGACCTTGTATTGACACGGAATCTACTGTCGCTTCGGTTTCAAATTCTACCTGTATAAAAGTCCATATAAATAATGTTGAGAAGATCCAAATAATTTTCCTATGGTTATGTCAGAAAACAATGTGTTTCCTCGTCATGGTCTGTAAACCCTAAAACATTTCATGTATGGAAACAGAACTTGACTTGCTATATAACCATGAAAACTAATTTTCAATTCAATGTTTTTGATGTCACAATTAATTTAACATAATAAATGAAGCCACAGTACTACTTCAATACAACTTAATGCCACTTTCCATATGTTCTCTACACACAGTTTATTGAGATAACATATATATACACTATACACTCCTTCTATAAGACCAATATATCATATCTTTACATCTTAAAGATCTTTTAAATTGATTAACATGTTTTGTTTATATCACCAATGACATATTAACATTTATTAGTCTTTCAATGAAATTCCATTTTTGAATTATCGTATTCTGTTTTTTAAGATGAGTATGTATTTAATCCACCCTCTTCTACTATTCTATAAAAATATGTGTATGAAAACTTTTTATATATTTATGAAAAAAGAAACACTGTAATAATTCTTTCCAAACACTCGTTTTAAATAGAAAAACGGACCTCATTACAAACTAGGAATGTTTTATTTTTATTTTCATGAGGTCTTTTCTTTCCAAAAAAGACAAGTGGATACTCAGATATATGGTTATGAACTAATTCGTTGCAGAGTTTTGTGAAAACAGGACACCAAGATGAAATATAAGGATAACTATTCGATTTTTATCTATCGACCATTGCATGGCATAATTGTAATTGAAGCTAAAAAGTTGATGCTTATCTCGTTTTGGTTCGTCGAATTTGCCAATACTAGTGTATATCACGAGTAATTGAGAAGGCAAATTACTAATTATTACGGTATTTTTTGGCTTATTGACGTTGTGCATATTATAATCAATACTTGTATATACTGGCAAAATACAAAGAAAATATCGGTTTATATGTCATTAGTTATAATTGCATGTTTCGGTTCATGGAATTTGTTCATTAAGTGCAAATATACTTGATTGTTTCGGTCCAATCATTTTGTCAATTATTGAATATAATAATAATAATAATAATAGTATACAGCATTTATATAGCGCCCTATATCATTTGTAAAATTACTCTAAAGCGCTTTACAACATATGGATAATAGTAATGATTATAATTGTGAAAACAAAAAACAAATGACTTTTATACATTTAAGCAAGCAATGTGCACATAATTGAACAAATGAAAGGGTGGTATTTACATGACGTCTTTGCAAAGATTCTAAAATGCTGACGTGAAGTGGTGAGTTTTGATGTCCCTCTTGAATTTGGCCAGGGTATTTGACTTTCTAATAGCAGATGGTAAGCTATTTACACCAAGTGTTACATTACATCCAATACGCAAATTGTTAAAACTAGTTTACTTGTATATAGGATTCCTCGTTTATGTGATTGGTACACCATCCAGAACTGCTGTCGAGATTGGGTCTTTCAAAATACAGTCGAGCATTATCAGGACTAAAGTCGTCTTGTCCCGAAAAGGAACTAGATGCCGTAAACGCTTCGTTCGGAACACCAGAAAAACCAGACAGAAGGTATTCAGAACACCACATCTTGTCCGTCTCTATGAGAAAAGGAGAAAACATCCAATGTTTAAATTTGATATATGCATGATCAACACAAGGATAATACTTGTTCCGTTTTATGTTCTTTAATGAAGATTTGTGATTAAAATCTTCCAAAAAATATTATATCATTTTAAAATACAGAGCTAAAATAGAATCTAAAATCTTATCATCATTGTCTCGTCTATTGAAACAAGGCAGCTATAGACACGCGTTCTGTTAAGTTACTTGGATATCTTCACGAAAAGCTACTGGTCATGTTTGGCAGGAAACAGGGATGGCTTCAAGATCAGTTACTAGTCTCAACTGCCATTTTCTGGTGGGGAACAGGGATGTCTTCAAGATCAGTTACTTGCCATTGAAGGTCGTGTTCTTGTTTAGACAAGGGCTGGCTTCAAGATCAGTTTCTGGTCATAAACATCTTGTTTTGGTGCGGAACAAGGATGTCTTCAAGATAAGTTGCTGGTCACAAAAGACATGTTAACTTGAAGACCATAGATGGCGTCGAGATAATCTACTAGCCACAAAAGTCATCTTCTTGTTGGTAACTGGGATGGCTTCAAATAACGTTACTGATCATAAAAAGGCATGTTCTGGTGGGTGTTTTTTTTATTGCTTTTAGATAAGTCACTGGTCACAAGAGTCATGTTCTGGTGACGAAACAATAATGTTCTAGTGGGGAACAGGGATGGCTTTAAGATAAGTCACTGGTCACAAGAGTCATGTTCTGGTGGGAAATAATATATTCTAATGGGGAACAGGGATGGCTTCGAGATAAGTCACTGGTCACAAGAGTCATGTTCTGGTGGGAAACAATAATGTTCTAGTGGGGAACAAGGATGGCTTTAAGATAAGTCACAAGAGTCATGTTCTGGTGGGAAACAATAATGTTCTAGTGGGGAACAGGGATGGCTTCGAGATAAGTCACTGGTCACAAGAGTCATGTTCTGGTGGGAAACAATAATGTTCTAGTGGAGAACATGGATGGCTTCGAGATAAACCACTGGTCACAAGAGTCATGTTATGGTGGGAAACAATAATGTTCTAGTGGGGAACAGGGATGGCTTCGAGATAAGTCACGGGTCACAAGAGTCATGTTCCGGTGGAAATCAATAATATTATAGTGGGGAACAGGGATGGTTTCGATATAAGTCACTGGTCACAAGAGTCATGTTATGGTGGGAAACAATAATGTTCTAGTGGGGAACAGGGATGGCTTCGAGATAAGTCACGGGTCACAAGAGTCATGTTCCGGTGGAAATCAATACTATTATAGTGGGGAACAGGGATGGTGTCGATATAAGTCACTGGTCATAAGAGTCATGTTCTGGTGGGAAACAATAATGTTCTAGTGGGGAACAGGGATGGCTTCGAGATAAGTCACTGGTCACAAAAGACATGTTCTGGTGGGGAACAGGGATGGCTTCAAGATATGTTTCTGGTCACAAAGTCATACTCTGGTTGATAACAGAGATGAATTCAAGATAAGTAACTGGTCGAAAGTCACATTTGGTGGTTAACTGGGTCGGTTTCTAGATATGTAACTGCTTAAAATAGTCATATTCTGCAAGGGATGGCTTCAAGATCTGAAACTGGTTACAAAAGTCATGTTCTGTTCGGGCCCATGACTGGCTTCAAGATAATTTACTGGTCACAAAGTCACGTTCTAGATTGTAACAGGGATGAGTGACAACATTTTTCTTTTTACATATACGTCACTGGTCAACAGAAGCACTGGTCACTTAAAACACGCCAGATACGTCACTGGTAACAAACGATACGCTCTGTTGGGTATTATGGGTAAGTGAATTCATAGTCTCTTTCCTACATACCTGAAACTGGAAAGTTAAACAGGAAGCTTGTTACTACAATCAGGAAAGATGGGTGCATCGTCGTTATTAGTTTGATGTACTGCAGACGTTTTCTTGTCGATTCTGTTCTTATAACGGAAAAAACACATAAGTCCAATTTGTTCAGATGTTTGAAATAATCTGAAAATTAACGACATAATTACCAATCTTATAGATATTTGCTCTCGTAGAAGTAATACAAACTAAGTAAGATAAGATAAGTATTTTGAATAAGTTTCTAAAGCATTGAGTAACTGAGGTTAATTAAAAAACTAACGATACATTAATTTGTTTAAACAGTAAGTTTTGATTTATTAAAATGATAAGCAAACTTGGTTTAAAGCAACCGTTATTCTTTTCAATCACAATATATTTTGAATTGTTCTACATGTTAATTTCATGTTTCTATCAAATAATAATAAAAGTCAAATGTAAAAAGTTCAGGGAGGTTAAAATGATTATATAAACATTGATTTTCTCTTTAGCTCACTTCCGTACTTTCAGTTGGAGTCGTAATTGTCTTTTTGTTACACAAACATATATCAAACCATAGATACCACGCTCAATAACATATATCAAACCATAGAGACCACGCTCAAAAACATATATTAAACCATAGAGACCACGCTCAATAACATATATCTCAGTTGGAGTCGTAATTGTCTTTTTGTTACACAAACATATACCAAACCATAGATACCACGCTCAATAACATATATCAAACCATAGAGACCACGCTCAATAACATAAATCAAACCATAGAGACCACACTCAATAACATATATCAAATCATAGAGACCACGCTCAATAACATATATCAAACATAGAGACCACACTCAGTAACATATATCAAACCATAGAGACCACGCTCAAAAACATATATTAAACCATAGAGACCACTCTCAATAGCATATATCAAACCATAGAGACCACGCTCAAAAACATATATTAAACCATAGAGACCACGCTCAATAACATATATCAAACCACACACTCAATAACATATATCAAACCATGGAGACCACGCTCAATAACATATATCAAATCATAGAGACCACGCTCAATAAAATATATCAAACCATAGAGACCACGCTCAAAAACATATATTAAACCATAGAGACCACACTCAATAAAATATATCAAACCATAGAGACCACGCTCAATAACATTTATCAAACCATTGAGACCACGCTCAATAACATATATCAAATCATAGAGACCACGCTCAATAACATTTATCAAACCATAGAGACCACGCTCAATAACATAAATCAAACCATAGAGACCACACTCAATAACATAAAGACCACGCTCAAAAACATATATTAAACCATAGAGACCATCCTCAATAACATATATCAAACCATAGAGCCCACGCTCAATAACATATATCAAACCACACACTCAATAACATATATCAAACCATGGAGACCACACTCAATAACATATATCATACCATAGAGACCACACTCAATAACATAAATCAAACCATAGAGACCACCCCCAATAACATATATCAAACCATAGAGACTACACTCAGTAACATATATCAAATTATAGGGGCCACGCCCAATAACATATATCAAACCATAGAGACCACACTCAGTAACATATATCAAATTATAGAGACCACGCCCAATAACATATATCAAACCATGGAGACCACACTCAATAACATATATCAAACCATAGAGACCACGCTCAATAACATATATCAAACCATAGAGACCACACTCCCCCACATATATCAAACCATAGAGACCACGCTCAATAACATATATCAAACCATAGAGACCACGCTCAATAACATATATCAAACCATAGAGACCACACTAAGTAACATATATCAAACCATAGAGACCACACTCAGTAACATATATCAAACCATAGAGACCACACTTAATAACATATATCAAACCATAGAGACCACACTTAATAACATATATCAAACCATAGAGACCACACTTAATAACATATATCAAACCATAGAGACCACTCTCAATTAACATATATCAAACCATAGAGACCACACTTAATAACATATATCAAACCATAGAGACCACACTAATTAACATATATCAAACCATAGAGACCACACTTAATAACATATATCAAACCATAGAGACCACTCTCCCCTAACATATATCAAACCATAGAGACCACACTACGTAACATATATCAAACCATAGAGACCACACTTAATAACATATATCAAACCATAGAGACCACTCTCCCCTAACATATATCAAACCATAGAGACCACACTTAATAACATATATCAAACCATAGAGACCACACTACGTAACATATATCAAACCATAGAGACCACACTTAAAAACATATATCAAACCATAGAGACCACGCTCAAAAACATATATTAAACCATAGAGACCACACTCAATAACATAAAGACCACGCTCAAAAACATATATTAAACCATAGAGACCATACTCAATAACATATATCAAACCATAGAGACCACACTTAATAACATATATCAAACCATAGAGACCACTCTCAATAACATATATCAAACCATAGAGACCACTCTCCCCTAACATATATCAAACCATAGAGACCACACTAATTAACATATATCAAACCATAGAGACCACACTACGTAACATATATCAAACCATAGAGACCACACTACGTAACATATATCAAACCATAGAGACCACACTTAATAACATATATCAAACCATAGAGACCACACTAAGTAACATATATCAACCATAGAGACCACACTCAGTAACATATATCAAACCATAGAAACCACGCTCAATAACATATATCAAACCATAGAGCCCACTCTCAATAACATATATCAAACCATAGAGACACTCAATAACATATATCAAACCATAGATACCACACTCAATAACATATATCAAACCATAGAGACCATGCTCAATAACATATATCAAACCATAGAGAACACGCTCAATAACATATATCAAACCATAGAGACCACACTTAATAACATATATCAAACCATAGAGACCACTCTCAATAACATATATCAAACCATAGAGACCATGCTCAATAACATATATCAAACCATAGAGAACACGCTCAATAACATATATCAAACCATAGAGACACTCAATAACATATATCAAACCATAGAGCCCACACTCAGTAACATATATCAAACCATAGAGACCACACTTAATAACATATATCAAACCATAGAGACCACATTCATTAACATATATCAAACCATGGAGACCACACTCAATAACATATATCAAATCATAGAGACCACGCTCAATAACATTTATCAAACCATAGAGACCACACTCAATAACATATATCAAACCATAGAGACCACACTCAATAACATATATCAAACCATAGAGACCACGCTCAAAAACATATATCAAACCATAGAGACCACGCTCAATAACATATATCAAACATAGAGACCACTCTCAATAACATATATCAAACCATAGAGACCACGCTCAATAACATTTACGATATTGGATGTTTCAAATCCAGTTCAAATTCAGTTCAAATTCAGTGGTTCAAATATGTATGTGCAATATTTTTAACAGAGACGGGACTACTGTAATTCCTATCATAAGTAAACTGTTCGTTAAACAGTTTCTCCTCCCTAAGAATTCAAAACAATTGATTTAATCGATTCTTTTATCATTTACACGTACAGTGGCATCAGAAATTTTATATATCAAAGATATTCTGTCAGAGCTTTGGACAATGTTTGTATTTTTAATATCCATAAGGACATTCCTTGGGAAAGTGCCTCCTTATAATGAAAAAAATACAAATAGACAAAGGGAAATCCGTTTTATACTGGGCGCGCACTTGTTTAAGATGAATCCATTCATTAAGTAAATGACAATGGAGAGTCCTTGGGGACAAGCATGCCCATCAACACCTCGTTAATAATTACAGAGAAATCAATTTGCAAATATAATTGTGCTTGACACAGAATGTATCACCAATTACTGTTCATTTAGTGTGACTTACCTTGAAGAATGATCTAGTTTAGAGGATTTAGACAGTGGGAAACACGACACAGCGTTTGTCTGTTACAGTCTCTAGACGCCCTGCAGCTTGACTATGTGGAATTGACACTCCACATCACTGACTGCCAGGGAGAGTATCTACGACTCCTTTAGTAATGCCTTGGGAAAGCCAGCATATGTGTATAAGGATACGAATACGGATGTATTGATCTAAAGGTTAATCAACAGTATTCAAACATAGGTTCATTATTCATTGAAAACTATGAATAAAAAAAGTGACGCCAACTCGCTAACTGTGTTGCGTTTTACTTATCTCGGCTTGCCATCAAAATTTGTTTTATTGTTAACAGATATATAGATGACAATACAACCAATACGTATTATGCCTTCACATCTTCACAAGATGGTTATCAATACACCATCAGTTGTGCTGCGATAATCCCCGATCTGTCAAGCTTGCAAACACGAGCAAATTACATCGGGTCAACATGAAAACTCTTTAAATACATAACGGACACAGTGGTGATGTAGTACACACGATAAGAATTTCTACATCCCCCATCCTTTAGAGCCTCGAACTTATACACACTTCGTTGTAAACTTGAAAGTCTCCATACATGTATACATACTCTTCCTTTACCTCTCCAATTAGTTTTTAACGTAACAAAACACTGATACAATCTGACAATAGAAAAACATACCAAAAACCTACAACTGCAAACTTAATACAGAATATGTATTCTTTTATCTTCATCGTTTTGGCATGGAATTCGTTTGGTTTGCTTGAGTTGTACGCCCTATTTACAGCCCAGGATTTTGGCGTCGAACATGTGACCCGGTAGTGGAGGACTAGTGATTGTAGATGATTAGACGCCTAAACCACTCGGCCCCCGTTTAAAGCTTATATTATCCTGTTGACATTTTCCTATGATTATGCAAAGAAGTGATATTACAAAAGCATTCTCATTGCATTAAGCAAAAACTGTTGACGAACATCTTAATTAATATCTGTTGCTTCTATACATCGCACAGATACACTCGTCAATGTCATAAAGAAACGTCTAAACCGTTACTTGTATTAGATTGGACTCAATAAACTTATAGGGCCATTGTTGTCGTATTTTCAATAAGATAGCCGTCAATATTCCATTCGCTAAGGAATTATGGGTATAACGTACTTACCTCAAAGAGATACTAGTCAAGCTGTTGGAAAAAAATCCGTCAAACTTAATCCTATCTTCTTTGTATTGCGGTTTCATTTATAATGCAAGTCTTTGAACATGTATTCCAATGAATGGGATTTTCATATTATTGATTTACCTAGTTTAATTAAGCAAAATTAAGACAATCCCGATTTATTCTGGTGCTTAAATGTCAGGTCACGTAATGATTTGATGAAAATCATCCTGTAACCAAATAAATGCAATCTTTATTCTAATTATAATGACATCTGTATTGTGAAAATCTATTACGAAAGTATAAATGTACACTCACCCGTGTGTGTTACGTGCATCGTTAACGATACCAGGTGGTAGACTCTGCTAGCGGAGTATCTTGTCGCCGAGATTTGCTGTAAACTTGATGGCACCAGTTTTCTCTTTAGAGTAATCCCATGGTCTATAATATGCACACTTAACATATTATATATAGGATCTCAAATGAGTTTTCATTTCATATGAGATTTTATGAAATGAGTCTCAGGAGTTTTTATTTTTGCGAGCTTTTACGAGTTTCATAAAAGCTCATATGAATTGAAAACAAATTTAAGATACTTTTTATCACATAACTCATAACAGGTTTTAAAACGGACAGACATTTTATTGCGCCATTCACAATTTGTGACGTCACGTCATTGTCCATATTATGACGTCACAATCGATTTCTGACTGGCACAGCCAATGAAAAACGCTCCAGTTCATATTACACTAGTGACATATGTAAAAATATTACACGGGCGAATTTACTGGATAACAGGCCGATTATGTGATAAAATCTAATTTGAAATTAAACAGTACTCCTCTTAATCTTTATATTCATAATTAGGGGTTTGATACACTTTGGCCCCCGGTATCACCGATGAGTCCTAGAATGACAAACAGTCGTGCAATGCAGTGTGATTCATTTCTAATTGTATATATTACCAGATTTTAAAGGTCGATCATCTGTATGTCTTCAACTTTGGTTTTTTGTAGAAGTGATCTAAAGCTTCCGTCCTCAGTTCTTTCTTACGACGCTTTCTTGAGCCGCTTTGAATCTATCTGTCTCATCACTTCTACTTTCCCCTGATTGTCTTCGATCCCTTCGTCATCAATATATATTGGCAATTGTCTCACTGGGCTTGTCACCAGTCCTTTTTACTGATTGTCTCCCCTTGGTCTGACATTAAATGGACTTATGTCTCACTGGGCTTGTCACCAGTCCTTTTTACTGATTGTCTCCACTTGGTCTGACATTAAATGGACTTATCTCTCTCTGGACTTGTCACCGGCCTTCTTCACCGATGGTCTCTTTACAATTATCTCTTTTGCCTGTCACCGGTCTTCTTAGCTAACCGTCTCCCCTCCGTCTCACATACATATTGACTATTGGGCTCGTCATATTTTCTTTTAAAATCGAATTAATGGATCATGACACTAAAACTAGAACAATTGCAGCAAAGCCTTAAGGCATGGAAATGAGCATAACAAAAATATCGACCGTCATATCACTCAAATAACAACATTAGATCATGATGGAGACCGTAAAACTAGTCCATAGTCTGCATCTTTGGAAACTCCGTGTGTCAAGTCTTCTCGTTGACAACCGACATCTCTATCGCGGAAGTCATGATTTATGGACCAAGCTTGTAAACACCGTAGGTTGGGGAAGCAGAGATGTTAATAACAAGAAAGGGAAAGTCGAAATCGTTTGGCTCATCTTACACGATGATGTGACGTCCTAAATTAGTCTACTGGAATATTTCTTTTCAAAATTCTTCAAATTTTAAGTTTTTATTCGCCCATGTCTGTCAGTGATCTGGCAGTTTCTCCGACTGCGCATCCAAGACCAGGGAGTTTTGCCTGGGCGTCTCTGTGTGAAATTTGCACTTTGCAAGTTCGTACATCTCTCTCTGTTGATATTTCTATTGAACTGCCGTCTGACTTTTCATTTAGAACAGCATCGTTGCACTGTGTGATACCAGGTAATACATGAACCGTCCATTGTGTCATGTTGGGGTCTCTTTACATGTCAGCAAAACCTTTGAAAGCAACAAGTGTAGATTATAAAACTGTTCTTGTATCATATTTTACCGATAAATAAATGGAAAACAAAGGGTTGCGTGAACACGGGGAAAATAAACTTTATATAAAATGATTTTCGTATCAGTTATCCATTTCATACAAAAATAAAAAGCTTGACGTTTTGAACATTATGGCATTTTTTTCATTTTCAATGTTTAAAAAAATGTCTTGCTTATTCATAACAACATGAATGTTTTGAAATTACATATTATCAAATCACTTGGTCTTCATTTCCTGTTTACAATATGCTTAAATACATTTTTAGGGAATTTTACTACAATGTAATGATTTCGCATGACTACACATATACATCTTCCATTTGTGGTCGGCATGCTTCTCCCAAGCTATTAAAAGAGATAGTATATGACCTAGTTTATAACATTGAGTATGGTCGCAAAAGAAATTGATGTTTATAACGCAGTGAACTATTTTGTATTGAAAAATCAGCCCAAATGCCTCATTATTGCCAAATATCATCGTTATATGCCATGTTAATAAACTATCCAAATTACATCTGAATTCCTAAGTTTAACACGGGTCTTTAACTATTAATTATCGGGGTTGATACGGAGCTTGTTGAACTCGTCAAGATAAATGGTAAGGTACGGCAAATAACAACCCCATATGATGCTCCATAAGGAGTTTAGATTTAGTATTCAGAAGTTGCCATTGTTGACTGTGGTTTTATCACGGCCTCCACGCCGTCCAGTATGAGTACGGTCTCCAAGGCGATATCTTTCCCGGTCTTAATATCTTCAATGTCGTTGATCGTTAGAACAATAGATGAAGAATATTTTGAGACGTTTCGATGACTAGTACGGAAAGTACTGTGTCACCTTCACCAGACATTATTTTGTCTGATGAAGGTGACAGAGTACATATCGTACTAGTCATCGAAACGTCTCAAAATAATATTTATTGGTTGTATAACAAGAATCTCTTCATAATCCATACTTACCAACAACATGAAGAAAATGTTTAGAAATATTCTTCATTGTGGTCCCAACTCTACCGAAAAGATGTACTTTTATCTTCTCCAAGATCTGTTTTTGTAGTTCGGCTACAACCACCAAAACGTGATACACTGTGTCATCAAATGACAAATGTGCGACACTTTCTCGGACTGATGGGAATTATCCAGAGGTGAACAAATCAAAGGTTATTGGTGACAGTGCTGGCTTTTCCACGAGACATTTATAATACAATAGGGACAAGAGGCCAAATCGGCCTGAATCGCTCACCGGGTATTAATCTCACACTTGTAATCTTAAAAGTGGACTAAGCTACAGGCAAAATATCTGTGTTCGATCCATTTGAATCTATTAAATGATTTAAACATATGACGCCTGCGACCTTGAAAGTTTATTGCCTTCCGTTTCGGCATATTTCTGGCTAAATATCATTACCCTGGACCTTTTGAATATTCAGAACAAGTCATTTAAAGATTTAAACAAATTTGATCCCTGTGACCTTGAATATGAGCAAAGGTCATTCATTTGAACAAACTTGGTAGCCCTTCATCCCAGCATGTTAATGGCCAAATATCATCATCCAAGGCTTTTTGGTTATTGAGAAGTTGTTTAAAGTTTTTAAACATATTTGACCCCTGTGACCTTGAAAATAGATGAAGGTAATTTATTTGAATAAACTTGGTAGCCCTTCATCCCAGCATGTTACTGGCCAAATGTCATTAGCCTATGCCTCTTGGATATGCAGGAGAAGTTATTTAAAGGTTTTAAACATATTTGACCCTTGTGACCTTGAAAATAGGTGAAGGTCGTTTGTTTGAACAAACTTGGTAGCCCTTCAGCTGAGCATGATACTGGTCAAATATCATTGTTCTAGGCCTCTTGTGTATTCAGGAGAAGTTGTGTAAAGGTTTTAAACATATTTGACCCCTGTGACCTTGAAAATGGGCGAAGGTCATTTATTTGAACAAACTTGATAGCCCTCTATTACAGCATGCTACTGGTCAAATAGCATCATCCTAGACCTCTTGGTTATTGAGAAGAAGTTGTTTAAAGGTTTTAAACAAATTTGACCCCTGTGACCTTGAATACAGGTAAAGGTCATTCATTTTAACAAAACTTAGTAGCCCTTTATCCTAGCATGTTACTGCCTAAATATCATTGTCCTAGGCCTCTATGTTATTCAGAAGAAGTTGTTTAAAGTTTTTAACATATTTGACCCCGGTGACCTTGAAAGTGGGCGAAGGTCATGTCCCCTTCTCATTCTATCCACATGAATCACTTTTACCCTACCTATGTGACCACATTTGACATTTTACGTGATTTATTGACCTTCCCAGTTACTAAGAGAGGTCTCTGCCATCTACTAGGTAGTTTTGGCGTTCTTCCCGGTTAAGTAAGAATACATATACAAAGTCTCCCGGCTTTAGATCAGTCCAGTTGAGCTTCCTACCATGACACCTCTTTGGTGGTTCCTGGCTCCCCAGCTGTCTTACATGTTATTCAGCTTCCTCCATACGCTTCTTCATCTGCCATGCCCACTGAATCTGCAGGAATTATCTACATTTGTCTTGGTACCTTAAACTGGATGTCTAGAGGGGTGCCAGTTTCTCTGTCGAACATCATCCAATTTGGCGTGAATCTTGTGGTTTCTTGCTCAGTTGAGCGGTAAGCCGTCGTAACGTAAGGGATATGTGCATCCCAATCTGTTTGGTGACTGTTCACAAAAGCACTCAACATGCATGGTGACAGGGTTTTTGTTGAAACGCTCCACCATGCCATCTGATTGGGGATGGTTAGGTGTGGTGCATGTTTGGTTGATCTGAAGTAATGTACATATTTCTTGAAACGAGGAGCTCTCAAATCCGGATCCTTGGTCAGAATGTATAGCACGAGACAGTCCTAATCGGATCCTTGGTCAGAATGTATAGCACGAGACAGTCCTAATCGGAATCCTTGGTCAGAATGTATAGCACGAGGAGCTCTCAAATCGGGATCCTTGGTCAGAATGTATAGCACGAGGCACTCCTAATCGGAATCCTTGGTCAGAATGTAAAGCACGAGACAGTCCTAATCGGGATCCTTGGTCAGAATGTATAGCACGAGGCACTCCTAATCGGAATCCTTGGTCAGAATGTATAGCACGAGGAGCTCCTAATCGGAATCCTTAGTCAGAATGTATAGCACGAGGAGCTCTCAAATCGGATCCTTGGTCAGAATGTATAGCACGAGGCACTCCGAAGCTGCAGCCCACTCCTCTACCGAAATGTTCGCCACGGTACGAGCTTCCATGTCTGGCTTTCAACTTGGTAAATTAGTCAGCTATGACAGGGATATGTTTGTTCAAGTTTGGTATGTCAGAACATAATAAGGCCCACATATTTCTTGACCAGAGCTCGTATGTATTCACGAAACCGTTCTTTAGCTCAAGCAGGTCTTGTAACTCGCTTAAATCATGTGACATTATTATAATGTGAGCTGTTAACAGTGAAAACGGTATTTGGCTTAAAGTCTCTCCTTAATCCTTCCCTATTGTCGAATGTTTTTATGAACTTATCACCCGTAAAGGAAATTAGGTGTGAGCACAGCATTTGATTTTAGCTAGGGAATGGTTTCATGAATACGACTATTTCCCTGAGATTAAGCTCTTTCTTTAAATGCATTATACAGGTTTAAAATGGACATAAGGGAAATTTCATTTCAACATTCCCAAAAGGCAAATAATTCCCCATGGCCGAGTTTGTCTGGAAGGCGCATTAAAATGACGTTTCTTGAGAGTCCAGTCAGTGACATTTATTAAACAGCGACAACCAAACATTTACTATATTTTCTAACTTCGACCTTCCTATCTCCAATTTTGTTTGTAAACAATTGATTGTCTTGGTCAACACTTAATGACATAAATATGGGCGGGGCATGTAATGTCAATGGAATATTTTGAATTGTCGGTTATGTCAGGGGCATAGCTCCTAAAACTGAAGCCTTGAAAAAGGAGCTTTATTCCTGGAACAAAACATAGATCTCTCGATTTTGGTCAATAGCCTTTAATGTTGTATATATATAAAGATAAAACATGTAGGTATAATATATTTCAATATCAACATTTTGTAGGTGTATAAAGCAAATTGAACAAAAAACAGTTTAGCCTTTTGAGAAACAAAATAAATTATTAGTTCCTAATATAGAACTGACAAACGTTACATGTTTTACAATATCATGATAATACGAGTATTCTGAACTTTTTTTCTACATTAAATATATTTTATCTGCAATTGTAACGATTCAAGTTGTTCGCTTGGGATTCTTAATTCCATCCATTATAAAGCAATAAGGCTGCATAATCACATTTTAAACCTGTTCATCATTTGCACTTAGATTAACAAGTGTGGAGGCATCCATCTCGGTGAGGTACATAGCTGACTCGTGAGAGTGGGGGATCTCTACCATGGTCTGTGTAGACGAGGGATCGCTATCGGACGTTACGATGGAACCGTCCATCAGATGCTCGGGCTGGAGAATTCCGCCCTCTTTGATAGATCTGTCAGCATGTCCCATAAGAACATGCGTCTCCACTTCCTGGAAAGTTTCAAACACAGCATTACACTCACTACAAATGTATAGTGCTGGTTCACCTCCCTCCTGCATAACACTCTCCATGACATGGGTCGACTCCATATGTACTATTCCATCTGGGGTGAGAATCTGTGTTCCTTCCATGATGGCTGGCTGGGGATCCAGGGACATCACTGAATTTGATAGCGTGACCTGTTCCGACTGATTCAAGCCCTGCTCTGCCAGGACCAGGATCACGTTCGACTCGGACCTCTGTCGCAACACCACTCCTTTACATTTGGGATGATGATGCTTTAAGGTATTTTTACACGAAAACGGCCTTCCGCATTTTTCACAGACAAAATTACTGTGACCTGTATGGGTCACAAGATGCTGGTTTAGAAGACGCTGCATTTTGAAGGCTTTTCTACAGATTGGACATGGGAAAGGTTTCGCTGTAGTGTGTTTGAAAAGCTTGTGTTTATCTAGTACACTCTTGAATGTGAATTTTTTGTCACAGATATCGCATGCATACGGCTTTTCTCCTGTATGTTTGTTAAGGTGATCAGAGTAAGTGTTCTTGTTGCGGAAACGCTTTCCGCAGTAGTCACACACATATTTGTAATACCTATCTTCTGGTTTCTTGTGGATCTCCATATGTCCCTTCAATGTTGTACGTTCAGTGAACTTCCTACCACATATGTTGCAACCATAGTCCTTGATGTCAGAATGGCGTTTCATATGCGCTTTCATGTATCGTACATGGTCAAAGTTCTTCCCGCAAATGTGACAGACGGCCGATTTTGATTTTGTGTGGACAGCCTGGATATGTGTTTGCATGTGCATGAATCGAGCAAATTTCTTCCCACAATATTCACAGACTGGGATATCACTGTGTATAAATTCCCTGTGGGCATATAAGCAATTCAGACGAAATGTTTTGAAGTCACATTTCAGACATGTGTACTCTTTTCTGTGTTGACTCTTTTCTGTTTTGGATTCATGATTCGATTTCAAAATATCCGGATTTAAAATAGATTTCTGAGCTTGTTTAAAAGGTTGATGCTTTTGATGAAGATGACTGACAAGAGATAATTCATCTAAAAACATGACTTCACACACATCACAGCAGAAAGAGCATGGTGTTTGATGGATGTTTAACATATGATGCTGTAGATTACCAAAACTGTCTGAAACGTAATCACATAAATTACACTGATCTCTCAGACCGCCATCCTCTCCCAGATCTTCCTCAATTAAAGTGGCTGCTATCTCATTCACTAAATACCCTGCATCTGAAGTGATTTGCAAGTATTCATTTCCTCTTTTGTCTGAAAGATTCAATGACTTTCGTCCAAGTTTTATTGAATCTTCGAAAACTATCCCAGGGATATGTGCGATGTTGTCCCCCCTTCGTCTTGTCACAGGTGTAGCGTTACTGATGCCCATCATCTTGACATCATTAACTTTGTCAACATTGTTATAGATATCATCTGTATCATCTTTGTTCCATTTGTCATTGGACACTTCTGGTTTCGGATATACTCTGTCCATCACAAAATCGGAACCTTTATATTCACAAGGCTCGTCTTTAACAGGTTGGGTCACATTATCAATGGAATCCTCATCTGTCTGAGATATCTGTTCCTTGAACTTGACCTGTAGATCCCTAATTCTTGTATCTTTTCTCTCTGATCTATTTTCGTTCTCCTCCAGTAATACCTTTTTTCCACTTAGCATAGCTGAGAAGTCGAGCCTCTTGCCCCTGGTCAAGTACCGCTTTGGACTCATTGTAGAAGCAGAATTGTTCTGCGCATTTGCCGTTTCATCAATATTCAGCGAGTTTGTCTTCCTTTTCCTAGATTGCTTTTCTGTACTGGACTTTGTCTCCGTTGTTTCTCGTGGCTCAATCGTTTCCTCTACACTTTTATCCATTAAATATGTCTCTGTACAGCTGTCTGTAGACGAAGCCTTTGTTTTCTGTGTTTGGTCCACTTTCGGAACTTTCCTTGGACGACCACGTTTTCGTTTGACAGAGGGATTTCCTGCAATCGTGTTGTTTTCCACGCTGTTTTCTGGTTTTTTGGAAGCCTTGTCATTTTTTTCACCATCATCCAGAAAGTCTGAGGAAACAGAGAAGCAATTATCAATTGAATTATCTTATGATCAGTATTTCTGGTGGGAAGCAATTATTTACAGGACTTCTGTTTTTTCTGTTACGAGTCATAAATTTTAATCATGTAATTTTGTGTTGAATTGAATTTAAGTGTTTTACAATTTTTAATAGAGAACATGCAGTGAACACAAGGAATATTTACACACACTTTTGCACTAAAAAAAATTATGCAGAACATACTATTCTTCAGTGAAATAAAACCATTGTGTCCACAAAATCAATTACTTACTGATAATTATTCATATCTGAGTGTTTCTATAGAGCATGTATTACAAACAACTTCATTATTTTAGCTAGATAAATACTCTCATTAATTTGAGAAGAGACTAATTCCCATATCTTAATATTTTGCATATATATTATTCCATACTTAATTACTATAAATATAGAAATGACAACATCTCAGTTGTGAATGCAGGTATTCATGAACAAAACTTATAATAGTTTACAAAATAAAGTACAAACAAGTATAACTGTAAGATGTTTTTTTAGCAAAACATAAATTATACTGAAGTCATGTTTACTAAACTAGCACAAACACATTGCACATTGAAATATGTTGTAATATATACCAGATAATACATAATGTTGTAAGGTGACTCATGAACTCATGAAACAAAAGTACTTTTACATACAAACCAACCATAATCATGTGACATAAAACATTGTTACCACAGACATGTATTAATTTATCCAGTTTGGTCAAAAATATTTGATCATGGATAGTTAGATAATACAAAATCTATTTTTGGGATAGGTGAATGAGCAACGATGGTAAATGTAGCTCACTGCACACTCACAAAAGATCTTCATGGTTTTGGAGAGTATAATAGGACCAATATAAGAACATGCTGCACTTTTGTTTTAGATGACTTGTTATAACAACCTACCTTGAACTCCACATTTTCTGCAAAACCCTTGTGAGTCTGTCTCTGGAGAAGGCACTCCCAACACATACTGAAAATGACAAAATGGAAATGAACATGATTTGTGTGGTTGATTTGCACTAGCTTATAGAGATCACTTCCCATAATCTGGCAATNCCCCACACACACACACACACACACACACACACAAATAAAAGTATCCCAGAAGATAAACTAACAATAAAATCTTAATATATCTTTTAATATATAACCCTGCAATCATTAACCAGGAGTTTAACCTCACACCTCAAAGGAATAGCTTCTAAACCACAACTGGTCAAATATGAAATAGCATGGATGTAGATATTTCTTTAATTCCTTTTAATATCTTGATTTTATGTTTTTTTCAGTTCTTGAGAAGCAATTATGAACGTGAAATGTTAACAGATGGTTGATCATGCATGACAATAGATATAGACGAATGACAATGGGCCACACAATCAGTCAAGCCATTAATCAGTAATGGTCTGTTAAATGTTAAATTATTTGCCTACTATTGAGCCCTATCCCTAATTCTGACCCACCTTGTGTGAAAAACTGACTCCTAATTACCTATGAACGTTCCATACCAAACTAATTATTTAAATCTTTTCATCTACATACAACCCCAACACACAGCCCACTCTGCATAGGAGGGTCATACTCTCTAACTTTGATGACGAGGTTATGATAAAGATACCTACTTTACACAGGAGACGTTTGGTCAGTACAATGTCCTCAAGCTGACCGGTCAGTGTGTACTGAGGGGAAGAAATCCCTGGTGACCAGTCCACTGATACACCTGTCTCTTTGGCCACTTTACTAAGGACACTGTCCATAGTTCTCTGATCAACAGCTGTTATCAGTCTCCGTGAAAGGGTAGCTGTGACTTTCCCAAATACCTAAAATAACATAGATCAAGTTTTAACAATCATAGTCTGGCTATGAACTTCTCAAAAAGTAAAACAATATAGAATTGTAAAAATGGAGATAATTTGGACTTATTAGGTAATAATGTAGGACCAGAAATAATGTTTAGTGTTAGGGTTAGAAAGTAGTCTGTACACATGTCTATATAGAATTCCAACGTAGAGTCCGTCGTCTATGCTTATAGGAGTAGGCCTCGTAGCCACTAGTATTAATGAACGGTGTTGTATAGTGTGCGTAAGGGTGTGAGATATGTTATCGTGTATTGTAATGATATTTCTTTACACTTGTTGTGTTTAATAAAAGATATTGAAGTTTATATCCTTGAGTCTATGTTCATTTGCCATTCTACATGTTCATCAATTTATAAGACCCCAATGGACCCAAGATCACCAAACCTGGGTGTTGGTTTTGAAGTAAAAACCCGCTCCTTTTACATTGGTGCCGTGACCAGGATCTTGGCAACCCATTTGGGGCATTTTTGAATTTTGTGTGAAAAAAATTGTAGAATTTGAAGTTGAAGTAATGGCGAATGAACGTGATTCAGGTGTGTTTACTAGGAGTAAAGGTTCAAGGTATCTTGTAGATTCTGGATCAGCTGTAACAATAGTTACTAAGGAAATGTATAATGCTATGCCCGAGGGTAATAGACCAGAATTAACAAGCAGTGGTATCATGCTGTACTCTGCCTCGGGTGACAAGTAGTGGTGGCTGGTAAAGCCAACTTTAGATTTAAAGTGGGCAAATTAGTGTACGAACAGGCTATAGTGGCTAGGTTGGACCAATTATCAGGGATTCTAGGTGTAGATTTCCTGGGTAAACATGGAGAAGAAATCCATTTTAGGAACAGGACTCTTAGGTTAGAGGGTCAGTGTGTCAACCTAGTTACAGAAAGGTACAAAGGGTGTGCCCGAATAAGGGTGTGTGAGACTACCTCCGTATCAGCTAACTCTGAGTGTCATTTTAAGGGTTATATATAAGGTGCTATAGATAGTGCAGAGGGTATTGTTGAACCAAATATATTCATAGCTAAACAGGGACTAATGGTGGTTAGTGTGCTACGTAGACGCCACCAGGAAAAGAGATCAATCTCTCTGTTTTGAACCTTAGTACTAAAAGTGTCAAGTTGCAAAAATGACAATAGTAGTCCAGGGGAGATAACTCCGCAGCAAACTAGAGAAGACAGGATGATAAAGTCTCCACCCAAATACTGTTCATAGAATATTGAAGTAAAAACACAGAAAGATAGATTAGTGTTGTATTACATTTATTCTGTGTTGCACAAAGTACAAATGTGATCAGTGTGATCTATATCCTGATATAACAAGTATGTACTTCCGTTTAAAGATGTTTTCCTTGTGTTGCTTGCACTGGTACAGCTTAAAAGACTTTATAATTTGGATATATTTTGATCTGCAGTTATAGAAACTGGGTACTATGTGTAGTATGCCATGATGTGGCGATTCTGTGTATATTGTTTGTGTAGATATACATAGGGAATCTGTAATGCGAAAGAGCTCAAGATAATTGCAGTGTTTGTTTTGTTATCCCATTTTCCTTCTATTTTTTTATTGTATTGTTATTATGTAATACTAGGGATTGTTTTTCTTATAGTAGTGCTTTGTGTAGAGATATCAGTCACATAGATAGTGTTTAGAGTGGGAAAACACAGTGGCTGATCATGCTTGAAGTGTGAGGCATGGTGAAGAAGTGGCTATAAGAAGGTAGTTTGCTGGGCACTGTAGATTATGCTCTTGTGCGATTGGGGAGTTATTGAGATTATGATATATACCATCTGTGTATTGCTGTTGTAGCCTATGCCAATTAATGATTGAAATAACATCTTATTGCGAATGAAAAATGTGTTACTGTGACTGAAGATAGGTTTCTGGGAGATGGTGTGTCATAAAGATAACAGGAAAGTATTCTGTTGTATTGTATTTCATTTATTTTGTTAAGTATGTGTGTTAATGTGAAATGTCTTTCAATTTTGTGAATTTATGATACTAGTACTGCAATTGATAACAGATGATGTTATCTTCATGGATTATCTCATGATGAATTTAGTGGGTATTAAATTTTCATGTATTGTATATTGAATGAATTCATGAATATATTTAGTAATGAATTCTTCCCATAATACATTTTTGTGAAATGGATCTATATTTTTTTTTGTAAATTAATTGTAAAGTACCAGGGAGAATTTTTTGACTTAATTTTGCAAATGTGGTAACCGAAGATGTCTATATAATGTAACTGTTGGATTAATTGTTATAAATTGTGCAAATTTTGTGTATTATTATTGTGATGGAATGCCACATTGATTTAATTGTATAAGGAGTGTATTGATTTAAGTGGCATTTTTTATTTATTTTTTGCTATGGAATATTACTCCTGTGCAGATGAGTGATGTTAGAAATGTGTGATTTGATCAAACTTTCCATGTTGTACTCTGTGGTTGTAAAGTTAGCCTGTGATTGTACACTGTACTGAGTGAGTTTTTGAAGTGAGTTTTTCATTACAATCTTTAAGCGATCAAGTTTTCAAATTTTGTAGCTTTTGACAAATGTTTGAACATTTGTCTTAAGGGGGGAGGAATGTAAAAGTGGAGATAATTTGGATACTTAACATTCGATATTTACGATTGACAGTTCACCACGTTTCGTCGTCCATCTTGTTGTTTTCACATTCGGAACCTAGTTACGTAACCGGAAGTGTTCCGAGTAGCTTTTGGGCGACTATTGCACGTGCAAAGTGCCGTGTTTGTATAGTTCGTCAGTCAGAAGTAAAGTCCTCGTAAGACTGCCTGACTCACTCTTTCTCTCCTTCTTTCTAGGACTCGTTAGGTAATAATTTAGGACCAGCAATAATGTTTAGTGTTAGGGTTAGAAAGTAGTCTGTACACATGTCTATATAGAATTCCAACGTAGAGTCCGTCGTTTATGCTTATAGGAGTAGGCCTCGTAGCCACTAGTATAAATGAACGGTGTTTTATCGTGTGAGTAAGGGTGTGAGATATGTTATCGTGTATTGTACTGATATTTCTTTACACTTGTTGTATTTAATAAAAGATATTAAAGTTTATATCCTTGAGTCTATGTTCATTTGCCATACTACATGTTCATCAATTTATAAGACCCCAATGGACCCAAGATCACCGAACCTGGGTGTTGGTTTTGAAGTAAAAAACCGCTCCTTTTACAGAATGATAGAATCAATATCAATTAACACATTAATTAACTTCTATGACATATGTACAGTAGGACTCAAATCTTGAGACGTTGTCTTCATTAATAGTAAGGTGGTAGTGAAAGAATATGTACTTTTACTGTGGATTGAACCTCGACCCTAAAACATTCTAGTTGGTCACTCTAGTGCTGAGCTGAAGGGACATTTCCTCTAGCCAAAGGTAGTACGGCCACTTTGACACTATGTACAATGTAGATCCTGTACATCTAATGGAGTACAGCTAGCTCACATGTATACATCCATAGAGAATGTATCTACTCCGTACTACATCAAGTTATATACATCAGTGATCGACAATCCGTCTAAAATCATAATCCATAATCGGTTTGTAATATTATGGGACTGAATACCCAAATAAAGTAAGAACACTAGTTTACATCAATAGACATTGGATTTCTCTCTTCTATAATAATAATATACAACATTTGATATAGCGCCCTATCTAGCTAACATAAGCCACTCTAAAACGCTTTACAGTACATAGATATACAATTAATACAATTAGTATACACAATTTTTGAGGAATTCGCAAGAGCCGCCTTATCAGGTGCTAACTACTAGTCATATGTCACCTGGCTAATATCCCCCTATGTGTGTGTGCTGGAGATGTATTATGTTCTGTTTGTAGTGGGACCGTGCTTCCAACGGCATCTTTTATAGTGCCACCTCACTTGAATGCTACATCACAGATACCGCAAAATCCACCCTAGACTATTTTATACTCCACCTGAGTTGTTGGAGCTATAATGAATCGATTTCAAGCAGCTCTTCTGCACTTTTATCAATCATATAGTAAAATTATAAGAATATATGACTTTCGATGCATCCTTTACATTAAAGATATTTCACACTTTGATTTCAATGATGAACCGATTATATCGATAAAGAAATTTGTAATTGATAATCGGAATCGGAAAAGGTAAACAGATTGATTTTTTATCATAACCCATCACTTCTATACATACAGCATTATATGTAAGCCTACAAAGGACAAATATACAGTGTAACTTACATCTATTGAGGACAGGTCTGCGGATGTCTCCTCATTCTCTTGGTAGTTTGTAGCCATTGCAGGGTCATCTTGAATCACAGGAACATCAGGTATGATGTCCTCTTCTCTCACATCTGTATTCAATCATGCAAATTAAAATTAACATTTATTTAAAGGAAGGTTCAAATTTGCTTATGCAATCCAAAAATATAGAAAACGTATTTACTTTACTTATAAATTTTCATGTGATCAGATAATACACAGTGTTTGGTCAACTTCTTAATTAAATTTGGGTCATGGTTCAGTTATGTCTCAATAAAAAAGGCAACAGATTATATAATTTGTGTGTATGTACACAAAGTAGTGGCCCTGAAAATAATATCCTTTCTGATTTAAGAGCTAAGTCCCCTTATGACATCATCTAAGCCCCCTTGCGATATTGAATCTCAGCAACATCATCAGTACTATTTTAATATTCATGCAGACTTAAGCCCCCATATTACATTGTCTCACAGTAATTTTATGCCATACAAACCTTAACTCACATATATATAAATTTCATTCATTTCACAAAAATAATGAAACCATGTTTTTTCAAGTTATATTAATCAATCTTGCTGGATCAAATGAAAGCGTACAGGGGCTTTGAATGTAGGAGAAAACCCTAGTACCAAGAGAAAGTATATCGTTCAAGCAGCTGACCCACACCTTTTCACACATGATTAGGGAATTGAACCCTGGCCGTCTTGGTGAAAGGCAAGTTTACTATCTACTCTAACAATACCATTAACACAGTAATCAGTATAACCTCTAGCATTAAATACAACCTCACAAGATCACAATGATTTTTAAATCCTTACCACACTGTCTCTCCGCTACGTCCTCAGTCCTGGGGGTTTCCAATGGGGAGTCATCGGAGACAACTCTCTCCATATTAGCCAGAGATTCAGCAGCTATCTCGACCTCGTGTAAGATTTCTGTATTCTCGTCTCCATCTTTGTACTTAGCGATAGCAAACCTGAAATATCATAGAAAACATTGTAATGAAAGTTAATACAAGTAGGTAAGAATATTATGACTGATTGTAACTAGTTTTTATTGCAGAAATTCACAAAAAAAATAACACAAATCTGCAGTTGATATGTATCTTACATCAGAAAAAAAAAAAGATGCAAATAAAAATTTGTAAATTTTCAATGAAATTCTGATACAAAATTTTGAAAATCGAGTATGACAAACCCTACCACTTCTGCCATAGACACAAGTATAACAATCATTTCAGTGATAAGCAAGGGCACAGACTAAGGGCCAGTCTGTACATGTTCCAATATTGTAGACATATAACAGTAGAAAAACTGGAGGTATCGGCTCCCCCTTATTAAGCTGCCATGACAGATATGAGGCTATGTCCTTGTACTGGAACTGACCTGTGGGTGGACTCTCGGTTCCCCTTGCATATACGGAGATGATGTAAGAAGCAGTTCCTCCTCTTGCGACACTCCCCGCACACTGGACAATGGTAATGGTAGCTTGATGGGTTAGATTCCTCTTCTGTCCCCTGACAGGGCAGGTAACATATCAGGACATAATAATCTGGAACAGGGGCAATATCCTCTTATAACACACACATCACAGGGCAGGTAACATATCAGGACATAGTCAACTGGAACAGGGGCAATAACCTCTTATAACACCCACATCACAGGGCAGGTAACATATCAGGGCATAGTAATCTCGAACATGGGCAATAACCTCTTATAACACACACATCACCGGGCAGGTAACATATCAGGACAGAATAATCTGGAATAGGGGTAATAACCTCTTATAACACACACATCACAGGGCAGGTAACATATCAGGGCATAGTAATCTCGAACAGGGGCAATAACCTCTTATAACACACACATCACAGGGCAGGGAACATATCAGGACAGAATAATCTGGAATAGGGGTAATAACCTCTTATAACACACACCTCACAGGGCAGGTAACATATCAGGGCATAGTAATCTCGAACAGGGGCAATAACCTATTATAACACACACATCACAGGGCAGGTAACATATCGGGACAGAATAATCTGGAACAGGGGTAATAACCTCTTAAAACACACACATCACAGGGCAGGTAACAAATCAGGACATAGTAATCTGGAACAGGGGCAATAACCTCTTATAAAACATATATCAGGACATAGTCATCTGGAACAGGGGCAATAAACTCTTATAACACACACATCACAGGGCAGGTAACAAATCAGGACATAGTAATCTGGAACAGGGGCAATAACCTCTTATACCACACACATCACAGGGCAGGTAACATATCAGGACAGAATAATCTGGAACAGGGGCAATAACCTCTTATAAAACATATATCAGGACATAGTCATCTGGAACAGGGGCAATAAACTCTTATAACACACACATCACAGGGCAGGTAACAAATCAGGACATAATAATCTGGAAAGGGGTTATAACCTCTTATAACACACACATCCCAGGGCAGGTAACAAATCAGGACATAATAATCTGGAAAGGGGTTATAACCTCTTATAACACACACATCCCAGGGCAGGCAACAAATCAGGACATAATAATCTGGAAAGGGGTTATAACCTCTTATAACACACACATCCCAGGGCAGGCAACAAATCAGGACATAATAATCTGGAAAGGGGTTATAACCTCTTATAACACACACATCCCAGGGCAGGCAACAAATCAGGACATAATAATCTGGAAAGGGGTTATAACCTCTTATAACACACACATCCCAGGGCAGGCAACAAATCAGGACATAATAATCTGGAAAGGGGTTATAACCTCTTATAACACACACATCCCAGGGCAGGCAACAAATCAGGACATAATAATCTGGAAAGGGGTTATAACCTCTTATAACACACACATCCCAGGGCAGGCAACAAATCAGGACATAATAATCTGGAAAGGGGTTATAACCTCTTATAACACACACATCCCAGGGCAGGCAACAAATCAGGACATAATAATCTGGAAAGGGGTTATAACCTCTTATAACACACACATCCCAGGGCAGGCAACAAATCAGGACATAATAATCTGGAAAGGGGTTATAACCTCTTATAACACACACATCCCAGGGCAGGCAACAAATCAGGACATAATAATCTGGAAAGGGGTTATAACCTCTTATAACACACACATCCCAGGGCAGGTAACAAATCAGGACATAATAATCTGGAAAGGGGTTATAACCTCTTATAACACACACATCCCAGGGCAGGTAACAAATCAGGACATAATAATCTGGAAAGGGGTTATAACCTCTTATAACACACACATCCCAGGGCAGGTAACAAATCAGGACATAATAATCTGGAAAGGGGTTATAACCTCTTATAACACACACATCACAGGGCAGGTAGCATATCAGGACATAGTCATCTGGAACAGGGGCAATAAACTCTTATAACACACACATCACAGGGCAGGTAACAAATCAGGACATAGTAATCTGGAACAGGGGCAATAACCTATTATAACACACACATCACAGGGCAGGTAACATATCAGGAAATAGTAATCTGGAACAGGGGCAATAACCTCTTATAACACATAAATCACCAATTCAAGTTATCTTTTGTTTTTCATTTGGCACCGACAAGTGAACAAACTTGTCCAGTAGAATGATATTTACTGAAAGGCCCATAGCACAAAAATGCTAAACATTCCTGTGCATTTTTAATATAGAAATGTACAGATTGGAAAGATTTTTTTCAAAATTTTGAATTCATAGACGTTATTAGATAATAATTGGCAAAATTCAATGTTGAACTTTTGCACATAAAATGGAGAAGTGTGCTCTTAACTTTGTGAACATATTGAGAGGTTATTTTTGACAGCTGTTATGAAATCGAGAAGTACATATTATATCTCAATACCTTTGAACGGGATGCGTTTTTTCCAGTGGAGGTTGTAGTGGGTCTGGAGATGACTTTCAGTGTTAGGTTTAAACTTGGAGGTGGGACATAGTACACAATGGTAGCTACCCTTACAGCCACAGGAGGGGTCTTTACACGGATTTACCGGCATGTCTTCAATACTTCGTACAACAGACACATGCCACTGTAACAGGAAGAGTAAGTAAAGAATAAAAGGAAAGTTTGAGTAAAGCATAAAAGTAAAACAAATAAAAACTCAATGCAAACATGTACAATATTGCTTATAAAAATACACAAGGACAAACAAGAGACCCAGGGGGCCTGTATCGCTCACCAGGATAATAATGCAACCATGGGAAATTATTCTTATTACATAAAATACCTCCAATGGTTCAGAAGAAGGACTTTAAAATTTTTAAACCTCAAACTTCCATATTGGGCCCCACAACTCTGCACCCAGAGGAACCACACCCTTCGTTTATACAAAAGTTAGTGCCCTTCCCCCAAGGATGCTCCAGGCCAAAGTTGGATGAAATCCCTCAAATGGTAAAGAGAAAGAAGGATTTTGAAGACTGAAACCTCAAATTCCCCTATTGGGCCCCACAACTCTGCACCCAGAGGGGCTACACCCTCCATTTATACAAAATTTAGTCCCCTTTGCAAAAGGATACTCCAGGTCAAATGTTGATAAAATCCCTCCAATGGTACAAAAGCAGAAGGAGTGTAAAGATTTAAACCTCAAATTCCCCTTTTGAGTCCTGCCCCTATGCACGCAAAGGGGCCACACCCACCGTTTATACAAAATTGATTCATCTTGGCCAAGGATGCTCCAGACCAAATTGGGATGAAATCACTTAATACCTGCAGGAGAAGAAGGATTTCAAAGGTTTTACCTCAATTTCCTCTATTGGGCCTCGCCCCTCTTCCCCAAGGAGGTACAAACCCACTGTTTATACAAAATTGAGTCCTTTGCCCAGAGATGTTCCAGACCGAATTTGAATAAAATCACTTAATCTTTATGGTAGAAGACGGACTCTAAAGGTTTACCTCTATTTCCCTATTCCACCTCACCCCTCTGCCCCCGACGGGGGG